CCTTGGACGACAACCAATAGAAAAATCAGTTGTGTGATTCCGCCTCCATAAAGATGCCAAGCAACAAGGTGAGACAAATCCTAGCCTGTGATGAACTGGCTAAATGGCAGATATATTTGCACAATGTCCAAGGTGAGTCTATTAAAAACAGATTGCTGTAACCACATAGCTAATACACTGAGTCTATTGTGGGGACTGAGCAGTAAGGGGCAGTGTGGGCACGTGATAAGGCTGTTGCTCCTCTGGCAGTAACTGCTGGGTGGTGTTCAGTAGAGAGAAAACGTTTTGGTGTAGAGAGAAACGTGGAGGTATACTACCAAACGTGTCCAGTAAGAACACAGATTTTTTTTCTCCGGTAGCTAAAAACGTCCCTGGTGGGCTGAATGATTGTGGGCTGAATGGTTGTGGGTCTTGGCCGGCCTCATGCCAAAGTGATCAGGGGCCTCTGGGTCCTCCTGACCCCCTCCTTCTCCTTCCTCCTTTTCTTCTACCGTTTAATCAGTGGGCCATGACAACAGCTATTTGAGTCAACAGACCCTTACCAGAGAGTGCAACTAAAGACTCCCTGAGGGATACAGCCACCCGCACTCACCCCCTGACCCCCCCCCCCCCAATACATCCTCTGACCCCCCCAATACACCACTGACCCCCCAACTCACCCCCTGACCCCCCCAGACCTCCCCAACACACCCCATGACCCCCCAACACACGCCTTGACCCCCCAACACACGCCCTGAACCCCCAACACACGCCTTGACCCCCCAACACACCCCCTGACCCCCCACCAACACACGCCTTGACACGCACAATGTGATTGAGAACTCTGACTCATCTGGAACACATTTAAATTAGAACGAGCCCTGTTTTAAATGTTATTTTTTCTGTTTATATTGCCTGCATCAATCCCATGTGTCATCAAATAAATGACGATGACTCGAAAAACCGAACGCTGGATACAAGATGGAAAATGCTGTTTGTCACGGCCTACATTACAGTGACAGTGATGAGTTCAGATGTGATTTAACTGCAGCATGCTCCACTCTCAATTGGTTCCCTGCCAGGGCTAGTGTGAGCTGACATAGCTCTTCAGGAGGATCAGTTTTGTTACAGATTGTCTTTACCTAATGGAAGAAATGATTCACCTGTAAGCAACCAAATCTAAACCAACCACATCTGAGCTGTTCATGGTCTCCTCTCCAGCCTTGTGGAAGTCAATCAGTACCTGTAGAACACCTGTGATTCCATGTTTAATGGACCAATCAAATGCTGAGGTGTAACAAAAACAGACTCAGCAGGCATCCAGTATCCGCGAATTACAACCGTTACCACAAGGGAATCTGTTCTAGATATGACACAAAATGAGGGTTGCCTGAATTCTTGGTTGGGGGTACCCAAGTAGTTAAACCACATGATCCAAAGATATAAGTACACCGAACAAAAATATAAACACAACATGTAAAGTGTTGGTCCCATGTTTCATGAGCTGAAATAAAAGATGCCAGAAATGTTCCATACGCATAAAAAGCTTATTTCTCTCAAATGTTTTGCACAAATTTGTTTACATCCCTGTTAGTGAGCATTTCTCCTTTGCCAAGGTAATCCATCCACCTGACAGGTGTGGCATATCAAGAAGCTGATTAAACAGTATGATCATTACACATGTGCAGTTTATGCTGGGAACAATAAAATGCCACTAAAATGTGCAGTTTTGTAACACAACACAATGGCACAGATGTCTCAAGTTTTGAGGGAGTGTGCAATTGGCATGCTGACTGCAGGAATGTCCACCAGAGCTGTTGCCAGAGAATTTCATGTTCATTTCTCTACCATAAGCCACCTCCGACGTTGTTTTAGATAATTTGGCTGTACGTCCAACCGGCCTCACAACCACAGACCACCTATATGTTGTTGTGTGGGCGAGCAGTATGCTGATGTCAATGTTGGGAACAGAGTGGCGGTGGGGTTAGGGTCACCTAACCTAAGAAGCAGTCACCAAAAAACCACATCAAAGCGGGCATGATAATGCACGGCCCCATGTCGCAAGTATCTGTACACAATTCCTGGAAGCTGAAAATGTCCCAATTCTTCCATGGCCTGCATACTTACCAGACATGTCACCCTTTGAGCATGTTTGGGATGCTCTGGATCGATGTGTATGACAGCGTGTCCCAGTTCCCGCCAATATCCAGCAACTTCGCACAGCCATTGAAGAGGAGTGGGACAGCATTCCACAGGCCACAATCAACAGCCTGATCAACTCTATGCAAAAGGGATGTGTTGCGCTGCATGAGGCAAATGGTGGTCACACCAGATACTGACTGGTTTTCTTTTTATAAGGTATCTGTGACCAACAGATGCATATCTGTATTCCCAGTGTTGTGAAATCCATAGATTAGGTCCTAATTTATTTATTTCAATTGACTGATTTCCTTATGAACTGTAACTCAGTAAAATCTTTGAAATTGTTGCATGTTGCATTTATACTTTTGTTCAGTATGAATATGTAAATGCTCAGATATTTAATTTCAAATGGATCGACATAGAAATCGGCTGAAACAATATGTTATTTATCTCATCAGTATCATATTGGCATGATAACTATTATGGATCTATTGTGACAACTGTATCTACCATTGCTTTTCTAACTGAACTGAGAAACATAAATGGAGAAAAAACATTATTAAATGACACACACACGCTGGATGAGCATTACCCCTTGGGAAGCCAGCACCTGTGGTTGGATTACACCGGGCCAAATTGAGTTAAAGGCCCTTGCAGTGCGTTGTGTTGAAACAGAGCATACCAGAAGTCTCATGAGAACCCAGCACCCCTACATAACAATACTAGATAAGACCTGTAGGGGAGAGTAGGAGAGAACCACCTCATGCTTAAGCCTCATCACTCCCTCCCTGACAACTATCTCCCATTGCTTATCGACTGTGTCAGCGGTGCTATGCCCAACAAATTCATTTTGTGGGAACTTGGAGCAGAATGCCAGAATTCCAAGAGCTGTCATAACTGTGGCCGCTTCGGTTACTGAGCATTATGGGGTTTTGGAGGAGAAGCAGTCACCAAAAAAACACATCAAAGTGGGCAAGTGCTTGGCAAGAAGTAGAGTGACAGTCTTTGCTGTGAGATTCACTTTTGAGGGCAAAAACAGTGACAGAAGCATATATTAACCCAATCAAATGAATGCATGGCATATGTAAATGTGCAAAACAGCTTTTCATCAGAACACACAGAGCATTATTTATTTTCTCTGTTTTGAGACGTATTTTTATCTATTCTTGGTGACATGATTCCAAGTAGTGATAGTGTGTTTATTTCATTTCAGGCTGATCTCATGAGCACATGCAGGCTGTTAAAGCAGACTGTTATGGGTTGGACTGCCCTCCTCATACTGTGTAATTGGCTGTTGGATACACTGATGTATCCCATTCCCTGACTAACACATAGAAAACACACACACACACACACAAGTACGCAAGCGCACACACTGTAGGCACCATCTCCCTTCTCCCCTCTCACTGTCAAAGCCAGGCTCCCCTGCCATTATACACGCTACATCAGTCTGTCAAAACTCTATGGAAGGATGGGGAAATACCTCAACCATCCCTTCCACCTCCCTACTAAAAATGTGTGGGTCACATTTCTAAAATCCTACGTCACTATCAGCCCCTGGGGAGTAGTGATTCGAGATCTAGTGTTCTGTGTGCTGCCCACTTAACATGGCATGGACCCTAATCAGAGCATTACAGGATTTGTACATTGCCATGGTTACTAGGTGGCACCATTATCTGGGTAATAGCATCACACTGTGCATGGCACTATAGCTCATAAATCAGAACATCTGAACCTAACATCTGGAGTCTCTGACTGTGTCTCAAAACCTCTCCACTTCGTCCTCTTCTCTACCGCTGCCATGTGTGACAATAATTAATACAAATGTTTTCTTTTAAAATCACTTTAATCTATTTTTCCCCTTTTTTCGGCCCACAACAAGAACATATTCTTTCAATGGAGTTTCAAAAGGAGGAATTTGGTCCATATGGGCCGTGCTGAGGGGCTGCCAGTGGAATGTTTTCCATGGAGCGTGTGTCTGATGGATGAGATACAGGCGCTGCATTACTTCCTCCATATAATAATAGGGGGGGGGGGGACGCCAAGTCGCACCACAAGGCTGCTTGTGGATGGAAGGAAGGTTAGAAGGATAGACTCCACTGAGTCTGTAAAGGTTTAACGGCATGGTGGGTTTCCAGATTGGGCATTTATCCTTCATCACCAAACAAGGCATTGGTTTAACGGCACGGCGGGTTGCCAGATTGGGTAATTATCCTTCATCACTAGACAAGGCATTGGTTTAGTAGCCTACGTAGTCCCAGCAACACAGCACAAACAGATCTGGGACCAGGCTATTGGTTTAACATATGAGCAACACATGGAGATGTTTAGGCCATTGGTCCCCTTTGCCAGAATGGAGTGATCTGAAGTGAGAATACATGGGTGACAGCTGTAAAAAAAAGAAAGAAAAAAAAAAGTATGCAGTTGATAAGAGTTAAAGGCAGTGTTGATCATTCTCTCAGCTGATATTAATAACACTACATAACACCTCACTAGAGTTTGGAATCCAAACCAGGGCAGCTAGAAAACCGCAACTCAACCGTGACCGAGCAGCCAAGGTCTTAACCAAGGTCTTTAAACAGAAAGGGTTCCCCATAAGGACTTTGATGAAAGGCCGATGTTGACCATCTCCTCTTCTTCCTCCTTGTAATTGTCAGGACCTTGACCACTATAGCAAATAAAGCAGCAGACCAGTCATTTAAGAGATGCTGCAATGCTGCCACCTGGTGAGTAAAAACAAATCCAACCAATATTGTCTCTCTTTAATTTTGAGAATAGGGCCCTAACAGATAATGAAGCTACAATTATAATGGAGATAGTCCAGGAGGATCTTAGAGCTTGGAGGGGACAGAGGGGTCCTGTCTTTGGTACAGGTTCTTCTAAAGGAAGTCCAGGATCCTCCTCCATTTGTACTGCCCTTCCCACAACATGATCACTGCAACAACACATTACAGATTTACAGTAGGGTAAAAATAAGAATGAAAACAATCACTTTCAGAGACTTATAATGTAATGTGTAATTTCTAGTGATACTATCGACTGGGTCCTTGATCTAGCCTTACAGTAAATAAGAGCAGATGAGAGATGCTCTGTAAATTCCCTCACCTTTGACCCTGTTCTTGGTGTAAAGCCTAAGGAAGGTGCTGGAGTGGAAGTGAGGAGTGTAGGAAGGTTTGATCAGGTGACAAGCCCCAGGGTAGGACACAGTTGTCAGCAGGTGACCGTTCCCTGTCCTCTCCATCATACTGCACATCTGTGCATAGAGGTCAGAGGTCAGGTGATATCTGGGATAGCCCTTTTAGTGTGCCAACTTATACTGTAATCAATGTATGTGTATGTATGCATTATCAGGTAGTGACAGGTAGCCTAGTGGTTAAGAGTGTTGGGCCATTAACTGAAAGGTTGCTGGTTCAAATCCCTGAGCTGACTAGGTGAAAAATCTGTCTTGAGCAAGGCACTTAACCCTAATTGCTCCTGTTTGTTGCTCTGGACAAGAGCATCTGCTAAATGACTAAAATGTGCAGTATATCCTGGACAGATTCTTCAGTGGCACAGTTCTGGTCAGCTTCTCCAACGACCATCAGTAATGGACACTTTAACCTCGACGGGATTGGTGTCCCATATACGGGACGGTTGAGCTAACATGCGCTAATGTGATTAACATGACTGTTGTAAATAACAGCAAACTTTCCAGGACATAGACATGTGTTATATGGGCAGAAAGTTTAAATTCTTGTTAATCTAACTGCACTGTCCAATTTACAGTAGCTATTACAGTGAAAAAATACCATGCTATTGTTTGAGGAGAGTGCACAACAACAAAATACTTATCATGGCAACTGGTTTGATACATTCACCTCTGAAGGTAAATAATGTACTTATGTGACAGGTTAAAGGAAATATTCATAGCCTGTTATACACTAAAAAGTATTAGTAAGTTCATAGTATGTGAGGATCTTAAAATATCTAAGGTTAAAAAGATCATGCATTCAGTACTAGTTCATTGAGATTGATAAAATTCATAACTGTGTTAAAAGTTTAAAATCCGTCAAGCGTAAGAGGAATGTGTAAACGTTATATTGACTACTTTATTTTGTGGTGCCTAATTTAAGGGTAAAAGTGTTAATCTGTGATCTACTAAATGCTCTTAATCTATGAGCCTGAGATCGATTGCTCTGGTCTCCACCCAAGTTCCCGGGGAAATTGCGGTCTTCATCATTATACTCAAGTTTTCAGTGAGGAAACATAACTGCATCACTCTCGTGATTATTTCTCCCCTTTTTCAGGTACGGTATTGATAAAACAGAGTTAATTTAAATGTAATAACTTGCTAACATGTCAAGAGTGTTTAAGGTGTGTTTTAGTAACATCTTGAGTAAGTTAGAGTTAAGTTTGCAGAGTGTAATATGTGCGTGTGTGAGTGGAACCCTGCTTGGTTGCAGCGAAGAATAGCTTCGTACTGAGAGTAGCTGCCATTTTATGTTAACACTTACATTCAGTAATCTTGCTCTGATTTGTCATCCTGAGGGTCCCAGAGATAAAATATAGCATAGTTTTGTTTGATAAAATCCATTTTTATATTCAAATGTAGGAACTGGGTTCTACAGTTTGAACCCTTGCTGTCTCTGGCTCCACACCCACCCCGCCCGGCCATCTAGATATGTGAAAGTTAGTGTATAAGCTAATGATCAATCATGTATGACATTCCTGGGAGTGTGTAAACTTACATTTTGTATTACCATATCATTTTTGTATGTTCTCTATAGTTATGTACTTGATAATGTATAAATTGACCAATTCGGCACATTTGGCAGACTTTACACAAAATAGTCCAGTATTGCAATGCTTCACTGGATCAATCTGAAACGTTGCTGCCATCTAGTGGCCAAAATCTAAATTGCGCCTAAACTGAAATTTAATATTGTGGCCTTTCTCTTGTATTTCAAAGATGATGGAACAAAAGATGTATAGAAAACACATTTTTTTTGTTTGTATTATCTTTTACCAGATCTAATGTGTTATATTCTCCTACATTCATTTCACATTTCCGCAAACTTGAAAGTGTTTCCTTTCAAATGGTCTCAAGAATATGCATATCCTTGCTTCAGGTCCTGAGATACAGGCAGTTAGATTTGGGTATGTCATTTTAGGCGAAAATTGAAAAAAAGGGTCCGATCCTTAAGAGGTTTTAACCTCCTGACCTATGGGGTCAAAAAGAGGTCCAAACACATGTCAGTTCCTCATTGTACAAATGCATACAGTATAGTGTACATACAATGCAGTCAGAATTATGTGTGAAAGATGCCATCACCTCTACTTTAGGGTCACTCTCAGTGATGGGCTGGATCATTTCTCTCCAGATCAAATGGTTGTTCCTCATCAAAGTGCATCTTGTGCATATTTCTAGAGATTTGAGCAAAATGTAACTATAATTTCAGTGCATTCCAAATGAGGTCATTTACCATTGCTTCATAATAGGTTAAAACACACTCACTTGTTGTACTTGTCAGCTATTTACACAAGGGATCTTTTGAAAGGGAAAACATGGCTGCCACTAATACACACCATACATCTGGGCTGAAAAAGTTGGAAAATATGAGAGAGTTGTGTCTACACAGCAACTTAAAAGTAATTGTTTACAGTATTTGCATTCACTAATTAACTGGTTATCAATCAAACAAGTCAAATTCAAAGAGGAAGGTGTGGAATAATGACATCAGAATAAACGGCCAGGGATAAGGATACAGAACTTCCCAGTGAGAAGCCAAACACAGCCACTCTATCACTGGCCACCTGGGGGTGGTCTCTCAGCATACTGAAGGCTGTCTGCAGTAGGGGAGACAGTGTACATTTCTCACCCAGGTACACAACAAACTTGAGAGCACACACACTTCAGGCCTTTTGCATCTTTTTCCACAATAAAATGTACATACCTCAAAGTACTTGCATCCTATGGCAACTGTTGTGGAGAAGTCCGTGAGGTACTGCAGCACTAGGGAGACGTAGCTTTGGGATGCTAACAGGGAGGATCGATGCTCAAACAGCCCCCCCACCCCCCCTCCTCCCCCAGACAGCTCCAGCACAGCAAGGAATGGTCCAGGACCTTATAGAGGAAAACACATGCAGTAGTATAGTATAGTATAGTATATATTGATGTCTATCTTCTGACATCCTCCCTGCAGGCTAGAGCAGCTAAAATCCTCTACTTCCAAAATAAAAACAGGTTGGGACTGAGGCAAATCCCTCCCCACATTTTGCAAATGTGAGTGAACATTCTCAAGTCATATCACTCATTTGCACATAATCATAAAATGGAATTTTTCAAAAGAGGACCATAGCACTCTCCAAAAAGTATTGTTGGTGCATAAAACCTGTGAATCCAGATAAGCAAAAAAAATTGTAATGGGTCCGCAGTCAAAAAGATAAAGCTTACTGCATGAGTATAGCATACGCATTCTTTTCAGCTGAACAGCCTTCTTCAGTGTGTAGGTTGGTTCATAACATGCCCATAACTATGGTACAGTTAAACAAAAATCATGTTGATAATTATTTTATTATAACATCAATTACAGAGAAATAAGCTGAGTAAATTGATACCCCTGTCTTCATCCAAAGCAATGTTCCAGTTCAATGCAATATTTCTGCACCTCATGGGACTATTTTTTAAATGAAGCTCCTTTTGGCATCAGGACCATGCTGGGGAAAGTTTATGTGATTGTGATAAACAGCTGAGAAGATTATGACAGAAGATTTGATAAAGACCTGTAATGAATCATGACAGAGTGACTGACAAAGTATTACAAATATTTGTCTACATCTGAAGTCCAGGAACAAGGCAGAATCTGATAGATAGAACATGAACAGGATATAGTTCACATGCCTCCTTTTCCCACATCTTCCCTTCAATATGACTAGATTATATCATAATTTGATCATAACCAAAAATATTACATTATCAGAACAGTCAATTTGATAATACAATGCAACTCGATAGAAAACATCCTTTGTACTCTCTGCCAAAAAGTGACTTCTGTTACAGTATAAAAGAGTCAGTATATTACAGTATCTAAAAGATGTGTCCACATAAGTCCATAACACTAGTTGTGCTGAGGTGTCCTGGGTGGGGGCGTCAGATCTTCTTGTATGGCCCTAAACAGCTGCAGCAGGGCTTCTCCCCACAGCGCCTTCTGGTGTTGGGAGGTGGTATGATCCAGAGTCTGGGCAGTGTACACCATAGTGAGCACTGTGCGCTCAAAGTCCTCCCTGCTAAGGGCACCTCTGCGCTGGGACAGGTGAGAGGTCAAACGTCTGATCTCTGAGAGTTTCTTGGGCAGAATGTCCTCACAGATGACCTCCAGCTTTTGGACCCTCCTCAGAGACGCCAGCTCCTGGTCTGGGATCACGAAGGGCTTGTCCTCACCCTCGATCTGCAGGCCTGCCAGCAGGATCTAGAAGACATCCACAGTGGTATCAGATTCTTTAAAGGTTCTATCAGATCCACTTTTCATATATCCATCTGTCATGTCAATACCTTCATGTTCTGGGATTGTTTGATTGATTTAATCAATTGGCTGATTGAATGATTCGATCAACAGAGCGATTTCCCACATTTAACATAGTCAGGGTGAAACTCACCTCATGCACCCCCAATGGTATAACTGGAACACAAGTCAAGCTCTTACCACCAGGGGGCATACAATACATTACAAAATATGTTTGCTGCCTTATTCTTCTGTTGAATCGGACTAAACACTCAATAATTAAGACCTTCCCAGCTCTGCAGATTTTGCTGCGAAGAGACAGAATCATTAGATAATTTGTTTTGGTACTGTCCATTTGTAGCTTGTTTTTGGTCACAGTTCCAGGAATGGCTGAATAATTGCAATATTTATCTAGAGCTAACCATGCAGATAGCACTACTGGGTGATCTGAAAAGTCATAGTCAATCAAGCTATAATATATTAAATACTTTTAGCAAAAATGTTTATTTTCAATTTACAATCTGTAGAAATAATGAGAATAGAAAGGTTCAGAACTTTCGTGAAACATCACAGCATAGTTGAAAAATATATAAATCCAATATGTTGTTTAGAGATAGATGGGAGGTTTTAATGGAGCTGAAGGTTGGGACTAATAACAACTAATAACAATAAGATAACTAATGTAAAACATACTGTGTCCATAATACAGTTGTGGTCAAAAGTTTTGAGAATGACACAAATATTAATTTTCACAAAGTCTGCTGCCTCAGTTTTGATGATGGCAATTTGCATATACTCCAGAATGTCATGAAGAATGATCAGATGAATTGCAATTAATTGCAAAGTCCCTCTTTGCCATGAAAATGAACTTAATCCCCAAAAAACATTTCCACTGCATTTCAGCCCTGCCACAAAAGGACCAGCTGCCATCATGTCAGTGATTCTCTCGTTAACACAGGTGAGAGTGTTGATGAGGACAAGGCTGGAGATCACTCTGTCATGCTGATTGAGTTAGAATAACAGACTGGAAGCTTTAAAGGGAGGGTGGTGCTTGAAATCATTGTTCTTCCTCTGTTAACCATGGTTACCTGCAAGGAAACACGTGCCATCATCATTGCTTTGCACAAAAAGGGCTTCAGGGCATCGGGATCGGGGCACCAGCAGTGCAGAGTTTGCTCAGGAATGGCAGCAGGCAGGTGTGAGTGCATCTGCACGCACAGTGAGGCGAAGACTTTTGGAGGATGGCCTGGTGTCGAGAAGGGCAGCAAAGAAACCACTTCTCTCCAGGAAAAACATCAGGGACAGACTGATATTCTGCAAAAGGTACAGGGATTGGACTGCTGAGGACTGGGGTAAAGTCATTTTCTCTGATGAAGCCCCTTTCCGATTGTTTGGGGCATCCGGAAAAAAGCATGTCCGGAGAAGACAAGGTGAGCGCTACCATCTGTCCTGTGTCATGCCAACAGTAAAGCATCCTGAGACCATTCATGTGTGGGGTTGCTTCTCAGCCAAGGGAGTGGGCTCAATCACAATTTTGCCTAAGAACACAGCCATGAATAAAGAATGGTACCAATACATCCTGCGAGAGCAACTTCTCCCAACCATCTAAGAACAGTTTGGTGATGACCAATGCCTTTTCCAGCATGATGGAGCACCTTGCCATAAGGCAAAAGTGATAACTAAGTGGCTCGGGGAACAAAACATTGAAATTATGGGTCCATGGCCAGGAAAATCCCCAGACCTTAATCCCATTGAGAACTTGTGGTCGATCCTCAAGAGGCGGGTGGACAAACAAAAACCCACAAATTCTGACAAACTCCAAGCATTGATAATGCAAGAATGGGCTGCCATCGGTCAGGATGTGGCCCAGAAGTTAATTGACAGCATGCCAGGGCGGATTGCAGAGGTCTTGAAAAAGAAGGATCAACACCGCAAATATTGAATCTTTGCATAAACTTAATGTAATTGTCAATAAAAGCCTTTGACACTTATGGAATGCTTGTAATTATACCATAGTAAAAATATCTCATAACACTGAAGCAGCGAACTTTGTGAAGACCAATACTTGTGTCATTTTCAAAACTTTTGACCACGACTGTATGTGTATAGGTTATAGGTTAAGAATTTTTGTGAAAGAGCACAGATATGGCATATAGAAGCAAACCGGATGGACATCATGAAAACGATTGGAGAGGTTTAGGGTAGAGGAAGTTCAGGAGTAAAAATAAACAAAATAGAACTATTGTAAAATTGACTGTGTCCATAAAATGTATATAGTATGTATAAGCTGGAAGTAGAGGCCTAAGCGTTGTTGTTCACTAGTTTGCTCCAATTAGGGGAGGGGTGGTAGGGTTAGAAGGTAATAAAGGAACATATATTTTTTTAAAGGATATGTATATATATGTATGTATATGTGCAAAGCTGTCATTAAGGCAAAAGGTGGCTATATATTTTTGGTTACTACATGATTCCATATGTGTTATTTCATAGTTTTGATGTCTTCACTATTATTCTACATTGTAAAAATATTTAAAAATAAAGAAAAACCCTTCAATGAGTAGTTGTGTCCAAACTTTTGACTGGTGGTGTATGTATATATATATATATATATATATATATATATATATATATATATATTTGCAAAAAATATATATTGGGGATTGGAAGTGATGCAGACAATTACATTAATGGAAGTTACAATATATCTGCAATATTAAAGCTGACCTACCCCCTAAAAAACTAAAAAATATAAAAATAATAATCACCCTAAAAAAATTAAGACCTTAAAAATAAGTTTCTGTTCCTTCCATGGATAGAGGGACGGTTTACCTTGAGTAACCTGACTCCTGTTGCCAAAGTTAAAGTTTATGAATTTCAGAAACTCTGGAGTTTGAACCCATGAGGACCAGTGGCTTCCCCAAAAAGATATCCAAGAAAAAAGTTTTTCAAATAAATTATCTTTCGTCTATCAGTGTTTCATAATTTTCCTTCAATTTGCAAGAGGCTAAATGTATCTCAATGGAGAAAGCATTAGAGTAAGTGAAACAGCGCCCCTCTGTCTGTATGTGTAGGCCATCTATCTGATGATGTCTGGTCAAAAAGAGTATGGAATTAGGCCTCCCTTGATAAAAATAAATAAAAATAAAATAGCCAATCAGTGTTGAGCTAAACTGAGTGAGCTCAATTGTGAATGGTCCTGGCGCACCAAAAGAAAAGTGTCAAGGGAAGCCAGTTTGGATTTGGCTTCACTCCAATCACATCACATCGAAAGCCAAACGTCATTGACAGAAACAACTTGAATTGTTGCATCTTGTTGTCCTCCGGTGGCTAGCTAGCTAGCTAAAATTGGCCCTTTCCTAAATTAGCCATGGATGGAGATAGGGATTTGGACTTGGTTGACTTGAGCTTTCAGGTATGTTTCACTTGTTATGCCTAAGATATTTTATTTATAAGCAATGCCGAATGTGGCATTGATTTTGATGCAACATGTTTTGCTGCTACCCCACAAGATTCACAAACCTTGAATAACATATAACCTCTGTGTCCATGTTTTCCACTCAAACAGCAGAGTGTTGGATGGTTGAGCAGTATATGTCCAGACATATTGTTTGCTCCTTGGGCTCCAACATACCAGCTGAAATATGTATGGATGAATCTGGGTTGTGCCCACAGTGGATATGGTCTGGCTCAACAACGAGAAGAAGCAGGGGCCTCTGGGATATGGAGTTCAATATCAGTACATTATTAAGTATTAAAGACAAAACTATCTGACAGGAGGGTCTCTGGATGATCCAGACTGTAACAGACAGAGCCTGGAATAAAACTTTAAGTTTGTGGAAGATTTGACTTTATCTGACAATCTTCTTGTTTCCATGTAACATTCACAATGGATTAAATTCCCTTTAAGCTCATTAAGGTAATTTAAGCAGAGCTGGCTATTTTCGACTCACCTCAAACAGCAGGTTAACATCTTCCACAGAGTTATGGAAGGTGGGGTTGACCAATGAGTGTGCGCCACGCTTCACTCTAAAAGCTGATGGGTAAAGGGCTGAAGAGAGAGGAAAGAAAAAGTGAGAAGAGAGATAGCATTTTGAGTAATTGAAGGACTCATTAAACCAACGGCAACCAAAAGGAGGCCCGAAATACAATAGATCCTGAATTTCTCGTTGAGTGGGTGAATGTGGATGCCATTGTTGAGACCAGGAGGTCAGTCAAACTCAACACATGTTGCAGGATTTACATAGTGCCATAGGTCTACAGTATAGCATACAATATATTCAAATACATTCACACAGTGGCTATAGGTCAGGTAAAATCCTACACTTACTGCATACTGCAAACATGTCTAAGGTAGGTTAAACTATCTAGTCCCAGGTTTGTGTGGGAGACAACTGGGGTGTAAACTGCAGCAGATGTCCCTATGTGAAACCGGGTGAAAACCCTTAAACCTCTGACACCGGTAATTGCTGGTATGTCCCACGTTATAGATGCCCCCTCCTTTCAAAGACCCATGTGTGTCTATAGGGTATAGGCTATAGGGTAGGGTGGTCAGATTTCAAAGTGTCAGGGCATATGTGCCGCAGCAGGCCTGAGAGTTCAGGAGCTGTGGTCTGCTCCTCATAAAACTCTCTCACCCTTCAGAACTGCAAACTAAGGCAGCTCTGTCTTTTATAAGGGGAGCTAACCAGGAGCAGAAGCAGAGAAACACCTGGGCACAAGCTTACCAACTGGGTTCGAACCTTGGTCTCTTGCATACCACAAGACTGCTGAGCTAAAGGCAGCTCCTGAGCTAAATGCAGCTCCTGAGCTAAATGCAGCTAAGGCAGGTATTCTGATCTCAGATAAGATCATTCACTGAACCACCTCCTTCACACCTATCATTTTACCTGTAGGGGAGATGTGGTAGTTCTTAGGTCTACAAATGACATTAAGTGAGATAATAGGACTTTGAGTGGCTTCTTTTGACAGGGTTTTCTCTTTATTACTCAGAGCGGCTTCTTAACAGTGAGGGGATGATTTGAGGCAGGAGTCACAGTACTGACATGATAATATCCTTTACCAGTTTGAGAGACAGCTACAGTACATAGTGGAAATACTTGTGGTTTCCATGTGGTTGATGCCATTCCATTGACTCCATTCCAGCCATTATTGTGAGCCGTCCTCCCCTCAGCAGCCTCCACTGCTAGAGAGGAAAGTTTGGTGCAAGCAGCATCTCTCCCTCAATACCTTATTTGCTTTCTTTTCCATTACAGCCCTGAATACCTGGCAGGGACTCCGACTGTGTGTTGAAAGTACAGGGCCATGTGCTTTTGGGTTGAAGGGTCAGGTACAGACAGACAAGGTCCAAATAAGTAGCTTGATTGGAAGTCGGAGCATGTTTGAAGTGGACACAAACAAACCATCGATCATGCAGTGCTTCAGTCTGTCTGAGGAATGCCTGGGCCCTTGACAGAACAGAAAGGTCATGGTAGGAACACAGCGTGACTAGGGGGTAAATCACGTTTTCCTCTCAACAGCTCAGAGTTCAATGATGTTGTGACTGAGCTTTATGAAATGCAACATGCAGGGCTACTGTTCGTCCATACTTTACACCATCAGGTACTCATTCTCTCATACATACAACATCTGACAGAGAGAGTGACATTCTTTCTGAGCTTGGTTAGATTCCCTACTACTGTACAGTCGTGGTCAAAAGTTTTGAGAATGACACAAGTATTGGTCTTCACAAAGTTCGCTGCTTCAGTGTTATGATATATTTTTGTCAGATGTTACTATGGTATACTGAAGTATAATTACAAGCATTCCATAAGTGTCAAAGGCTTTTATTGACAATTACATTAAGTTTATGCAAAGAGTCAATATTTGCAGTGTTGACCCTTCTTTTTCAAGACCTCTGCAATCCGCCCTGGCATGCTGTCAATTAACTTCTGGGCCACATCCTGACTGATGGCAGCCCATTCTTGCATAATCAATGGTTGGAGTTTGTCAGAATTTGTGGGTTTTTGTTTGTCCACCCGCCTCTTGAGGATCGACCACAAGTTCTCAATGGGATTAAGGTCTGGGGAGTATCCTGGCCATGGACCCATCATTTCAATGTTTTGTTCCCCGAGCCACTTAGTTATCACTTTTGCCTTATGGCAAGGTGCTCCATCATGCTGGAAAAGGCATTGGTCGTCACCAAACTGTTCTTAGATGGTTGGGAGAAGTTGCTCTCAGAGGATGCGTTGGTACCATTCTTTATTCATGGCTGTGTTCTTAGGCAAAATTGTGAGCCCACTCCCTTGGCTGAGAAGCAACCCCACACATGAATGGTCTCAGGATGCTTTACTGTTGGCATGACACAGGACTGATGGTAGCGCTCACCTTGTCTTCTCCGGACAAGCTTTTTTCCGGATGCCCCATACAATCGGAAAGGGGATTCATCAGAGAAAATGACTTTACCCCAGTCCTCAGCAGTCTAATCCCTGTACCTTTTGCAGAATATCAGTCTGTCCCTGATGTTTTTCCTGGAGATAAGTGGCTTCTTTGCAGCCCTTCTTGACACCAGGCCATCCTCCAAATGTCTTCACCTCACTGTGCGTGCAGATGCACTCGCACCTGCCTGCTGCCATTCCTGAGCAAGCTCTGCACTGGTGGTGCCCCGATCCCGCAGCTGAATCAACTTCAGGAGACGTCCTGGCGCTTGCTGGACTTTCTTGGGCGCACTGGCGCCTTCTTCACAACAAAATTAGTATTTGTGTCATTCTCAAAACTTTTGACCTCGACTGTAGAATGTGCTCTTGTTACTAATCCAAGCCAGATATCCAATCACTGCTGTTTGAGCCAAGAGAAATATAGGCTCACAGAGCTTAACGAGGATCATAGTTTAAACATTGGCCCTCTCTCTCTATGGAAACTGATCAGGAATCAACTCCTGGTCAACTGACACCCAGCACAATTCCACTGTTCTCCGACTGTACTCCTTATGGAATCTGATCCAAGATCAGCTCTTGCCACTCCCAGTCCCCCTCCACTGTACTCCTAACCGTCCGGCCACCAAGGCCTCACACTCTCGATGGGACAACACTGGCCACATTCTCCCCATTCAGAAACAGGGTTAAAGCAGCAGTATTGGAATGCATAAGCATACAGAACACACCCATAGGGACAATAACAACTTTTATTGGCACAGAGCCAGTGTGAACAGTGGGGTTATGAGGTCTATGAGGTTCATTTGTATGCTTCATTTTCCATGAATCGTTTGATGTTAAGGCGATGCTGTACCTCTGTGGAGATGTTAGCTCCAAAATGGCTGCTCCAACCAGCCATACATTTTTATGGGTTTCACCACTAGTTGCACAGGCGCCATACATACAGCAGCTGTGAGGAATGCCAGACATTGATGTCATAGTTTTCACCCAGATTTGGGCTGATATGTGCTACTGTGCATCCAAGTGTGATACTGATCAGTATGTACTGGAAAGCCGAAGCCCCAATGTTGACTTTTATCCAGCAGCACATCCTTTCCTAATGCCTTCCAGTGTGAATCTGTAAGTGGAGGAAGGTGGAGCTGGAATTCCACACACAGATGATGAGTTGAGTCCACTGTGTTGAGCTCGAGGCAGAAGTGAAGAACAGGAGGGAACCATCTATTCACCTCAGCAGAACAACAGCAACACAAAGAAACATCTATGTGCAATGCTCATGTGATGTGTAACCTTGCCTGAGACCTGAAGACTCATGTAATGCCTAGGCTTTAGCTCAGCGGGTTAACACAGTCATCTGATATACAGTAGACTCGGTTTCTAAATTTAGCTGGTCACATATGGAATAAGTGGTTGCTGGTTTAATGTGGATGATCCACTTCTGAAAGCAGATCTCAGTATTCAAAGCTCTGAGCTAGAAGAAACCAATCATCGTTCATGCTTCTCGGCCCACTGTAGCGCTAGAATAAATAATCAGTGTTTGCTAGGACACTGTCCCCTGTGTCCTCACAAATAAGCAGGGAACTTGTAATCTCCCTCTAAGCACTTGCAATGAGCCAGGGGAAAACACAAAGCCAATAATTACAAGCAGTGCTGAATGGTCTTGGCTAGAATTGTGTCGTGATTAGAGAAAAGCAGCCAAAACAGAGGTCACATTACCTCAGGTTTACAGTAATGGTTATTTGGCTTAAAGTTGGAGCCAAAACCAAAGTCAGGAACATTTCCCATACTACAACTGATGAATTATGTTTCCTTAACCAGTTTACATTTTTGTATTGTGATCTCTTAACTGATATTTCCCACAAAATACACACTCTGGAGCAAGCTAAATATATGTCCTAATCAGAACTTTCCCAGTGAACCGAAGACCTAAGAGCTCCAAATATGGGACAAGATATGTCTCAATATTGAAGGGATAACAATACATCAAGTCAGATATGCAGATGTTTTGCCAAGCTGCTGCAGTCAAAACAGCTGGGGAAGAATTTGGCAGCAGTCAGAGGGACACAGGGGCCAGAGACAGTCACATTGGCTACACTTACAGTTTGTCCCCAATTCTAAATCACTGTCTGTTTGTCCCCTCTATCAAATCCTAAATATTCAGATGTGGTCTTTAGGGGTGACCTGAAGTTCAATAGTCATACAGTAGATAGGCTTAGTACTCGTATGAGATGGATGTAATAATATTTTCCTAATGGATACTGAGACACATGATTGACAAACCAGTTTCCCCTCTGGGATAAATAAAGTTTGTATTATTTTATCTTACCATGTCAGTATCCATTACTGGATCTCATCCGCCAGCAAAGACCTGAGCTAAGTTGCGTTTCCTGAAGCAGGTTCAACATCATGTGACTGATTCAGTGATTTAAATCCACCCTCCTACATTCCTTAATTCGGAGGGATCTATTTTCGGCAGTCGACATTTCCAAGGAACTAAATGTTGACGTGTGTGGGAGGGAGGGACAATGTATGAATGTGGATCCAAATGTTTGGATTCAATAACAACAAGGCACTTGAAGTTGTTTTTCACTGGGAACCTTGTTGAAAGATATTCAGAACATAGCATTCTTCTCCTTCATATCAACACAATCACATACATACAGGAGCCCAACACCCACAGCCTTGCCAAAGCAAACAAAACATTTGTATTTTCTTCAAAAAACATAAAATCTTATAAAAGTCTGCAAACACATCAGATAAAAGTCTGCAAAAATCTGCATGCATAAAACAATAGAGCCTACTTAAATACACCTAAATAATCTATTTGGCAGCAAAATGTTCAGTTATAATAGCACACACCAATACAAAATACATAACCATATGGTTTTGTTTTTTCCTTTGATTCATTAAGATTAGATTTTAAAAAATCCATAATGCAGTTCATTTCTTCCTATTGATACTAGTTCTGAGAACGTCTACACAACAGCCATTAACTTTCTATGAAAGCATCTATGTTGACCCCTCAAACTGACCTGAAGTCAGTCTAAGCTCTGTGAGGTGCTCAGGTGTCCTACCTTTCCTCCAGTGTTGAGCAGCAGCCAGGTACAGCTGGCAGTAGAACACAGTGATGAGTAGACGCCACCGATGCATCATGATGACCCTCGGCCCAGCACACATACACTGACTACCGTCCTGCCCTGATGTCTCTCTTGCTCTCTCCCTCGGGCCCTGTCGTCTGTCTGTCTCCCTGGGCTTTGAATGTGAGTCAGTCACTAGCCAATCACAGCAGCCAGCCAGGCCCCAGCTGGAGAGAGCTGAATACAAACAACCATCAGGAGAATGAGGTAAGAATGCTGACTGGAGCACTGCTAAACCACTTCACATGCAACTGCTTCATTCACTCACTCACTCTCTCTCACTCTCTCACTCTCCTCTTTTTCTCTTCTTCTACCTCTCTTTTTCTCTCACTCTAGTCTCTCTCTCTCTCCCCCTTCTCTCTCCCCCTCTGTCTGTGACTGAGTGCTGAGTTCTCTCTGGCCAGGCTGTCATCTGGAAGTCATCAGGACCCAGGGAATGCCTGCTCTGTTAGTGGCTGGACTCAGGGACGGCCTGTTCAATAGGGCGATATGGGCGACGCACTGCCAAACGGGAAAAGGAAGGGATTTTTTTTCTAATCAATTATATCACGGCAACAGTAGTTATCAGTGTTGTAATCTGATCTGACTGCCACTAAATGTCAAATCAGGCTAAAGTCGTGCTTCAAAAGGCCCCGCCCGTTTTTGGGCGATTTCAGTCAGGTTGAAAATCGCCCAGAAGTCTCTCATAGCCTGTCATGTAAAATCTATTTTTTTCAAATTTCAAAGCTTTCAATACATTCTCTATGGGTGTCTGTGGGCTTGCACTTACGCGCTTTCGTCATACGTGACGTAACCATGAACGTAACTAAGCAAATAGCGGCTAGCAGCGTCTCTTTGCGACCTGCAGTGTGGCGTTATTTTATGTTTTTAATTTGTACACTTAGTGGCGTTATTTTATGTTTTTAATTTGTACACTTAGTTTACAAACATTCTGCCAACCATGGATTTCGAGTGGTGGGTTTTGGACTGATCTTGTTGATCGTGTACATACCCGCTACGAACGGACTAAATAATGAAAACGTTGCTGGCAGCGGAATCCAATACAGCTGGGAGACTTGGCTGGATGACAGAGTCCCGGACAGAGAAGTGGAGCCGGCCGGCTTCACCCTGGTCGGAGCGGACCTCGATCTGACAGTCACAGGGAAAATCGATCCTGGTAAGAGAGCGACTCTGTACCCCCGAGCCCCGACATTGAACTGCTTTCTGTGTCACTGTGACCTTACTATCTGCCCCGTGAGTTCCCCCAATTGTTTGTTACCGTTGTGTACTGTTGATAATCACAAGTTTACTGGAGAACTGAGACCAAGTAGAGACTTTGGACAGGGTGGATATGGTATAATAAAGGCAGTTTATTCAGAGGTAAAGATATCTGGAATCGCGTGCACGGACTCGTTCGTCAAACTCTTAGGGAGCTATCTGAAGAGAGCCCCGAAAACATTGTGTGCTGACATTTTATACAATAAATGATGTAGGTTGAATCTAGTAGTTCTGATCTTCTGATTGGTCCTGATGAGTTGGGCGAGGTCCCCTCCACTGTTGCATTGGCTCTGAGTCGGGTTCTCTGTCTTCAAATGTTCAGCCTAAAGAGAGGGGATTTTTGTGTGTGTGTGTGTGTGTGTGTGTTTAACAGTGATGATGTGTGTGTGTGTGTGTGTGTTTAACAGTGATGATGTGTGTGTGTGTGTGTGTTATCAGTGATGATGTGTGTGTGTGTGTGTGTGTGTGTCCTCAGAGCAAGAACTCGTGAGTTGGAAGAACTGAGAGACCTATGGCGTGGGTGTTGTCCTTGGCCACCTGCTGACATAGGATAGGAACAGCATTGATTGAAAACAAACGCCCAACACAAAATGGGTCATGCACAAGATTTTAGTCAGACCAAGCTATAACATTATATATTTACTACGACAGTACATTCAACCAAAAGCTAATATAACAAAGGCATCAGAGATTATTTATAATCTGTCACAGAAACTGGAATCCATCTCCCCAGATCAGTCAATAAATGCTTCTGGTATTGACTTATATGCTGCCCCTGTCTTCATGTTGTTGCTGGACATATCTTTTTTAAAATGTGTGTAGGTCACCTAAATCATCAGAAAAATTGCCCCTCCTGAGAATTTTTTCAGGAGCCGCCACTGGCTGGACTGCTGCTCACTAAGCTACTGACTGAGGTAGAAATGACACCAGACTGACTGCAGCAGTAACAACCTGTAAAACCTGTCCGATATCATCATCATCATGGTCACCGTCGTTTCCAATATGGTTTCCTTCATCATTAGCATAATGGTCATCATCGTCATATTGTAACCTCGTCCCCAGGCTTATTGCTACCTCACACAGAGACAACGATGGTGGCTGAGACTATCACTATTGTGAGGAATACCACATCACCATCATCATCATCATCATCATACTCTGTCTCAGAATCCACTTGCATTCCTCATATTGACTACACAGTAAGTGTCTAACGGCTTCAGCACAGACAAGAGTAAAACACCAATAGCTGCCCACTTCAAATACATCCACTCCACATACAATAGATTATAGTACAGTATAGCATTTCAGAATTCTCTTCGTCTCTCCATTGTCCTCTCAACAGTTTCTGTTCTCTTTGTAGTTACATAATGTCCGTTACAATAACATTCAGAGCTCTTGCTACCCAGGGCCAAGGAGCATAGTGGTTTGCTCAGGAATCCAGGGGCTTTGCTTTGGTTGGCCTGGCCTCTGACATGAAGGAAAAGAACAGGAAAAAACAAGATATTTCAGAAATGAATCTGCTATTATTAAACAGAATTACACCATTCTACCTTAGCTTACTGACTGTGGATGACAAATGTTTTTGCAGTATGCATTTCAGAGCTCAACCAATATCTGCTATATGAGTACTCTACTGCTGAGAACTAATGGTCTATGCATAAATTATAATTTGGGTTAAATGTTTTGTTTTACAATTACGGCTTCTATCTTGTCAGCTCATGATCATAAAAAATGTGACTGATGACATATAAAATCAAAATGAAAAGCTGAATTGCCAGCGGTTTTAATGATCCACATCACATCACTATTACCACCACCATGATTAGGTAACTTCAAACATTTCACTGATATACCAGGCAATGCTGGATGGCATGATTAATTCAGCGCCCTCTGACTTTCAAGTTATTTGCTTTACGAACACCATATGTTGATTTGAAATGTTCTCCTCTAAAACCAGATGGGCACCTGAGGTATTCTGCCCTTCCGTGTCTCACTGAAGGAACACAAAGTATATTCAAATAAAGGATGATGAGAGAAAGTGATGATATTCCCAGTGGACAAACTTTAACACCTGTCTTTCAGTACATTACACAGTCAACTCATAAGGTAATAACAGATGGTGTTCTGAGTCTGAGAGAACAATGTCCAGAAGGTAAAGAAAACATCCTCCCCACAGTGTGTCTCTCATCTCCTTGCTGGAAGGTGCATAGTAGAGGGGAACTCTAGTCTTTTTGTTGACCTACCCAGAACCTTTACTCTTAGAAGAAAGACAGTAGTAAATCAGCCTGTTGAAATGGATGAGGAGGTGACACCGTGACACAGGACCATGTACACAGCCAGGATTTACTCAGAGTAAGGTCAAATGGTCGAATAAAGCATATGCCAGTGGTCACATGGTCAAGTAAAGCATATCCCAGTGGTCACATGGTCAAGTAAAGCATATCCCAGTGGTCACATGGTCAAGTAATGCATATCCCAGTGGTCACATGGTCAAGTAAAGCATATCCCTAACTGTAGGCAAAACAATTAAATTAGTTCCTGGCCCTAATTATTTCTACTGACGTGTAGTTCTCCATTTACCAGCAGGGGGCAGGCTAAGAACACATTATGTATGTTAATTTTTTTTCCTTCACTCCAGCACCCTATCAGACTGATGCCGTTTTCAAACTATTTTGGTGATGCTGCATGAATTTGAGAATGAATTCTATTAAGATAAGTGCTCACGATATGAATGCACTTGAGAGAGATGTAAGGGTTGTTTGGGTTCAGGTCCAGGTGGGGACCCTTGAGAAATCGCTCAAGCGCTTAATTGCCCAAGTCGTGCTATAAAGAAAGCTCTGTAATACATAAAATATGCAAATGAATAGGAGTCCATTATAAGTCTGTAAAAGCCTCAATAGTCAAATAATTTTTTGACAAGAGAAGTGCAGCTGCAGTCCCTACATGAGAACTACAAAATAAAAGCATATTTGTTTACACTCCAGACTTTAAATGTCACATGACTGTAATTACCAGCAATCAGGATGGGGCAGATTATACAGAATAGTTATTTGAGCTGTAGCCAAAGGTTTAATGGAAAATATAAATTCTTGGCAGGGTCAGCACCAGTGCCTATCTAATACGTCTTCCACCACACAATTCTGAGTCATCCGACATCAAGATTGACTTGTATTTCCCTAAAAACATACAACATAAGAGACCCATTACGAATAGACAAACCATTACTGTGGAAACGTATCCTAAACCCTGTCATTAGTTTAGAGCTAATTTGTCTGGACACAGACAGCGGCTCAGCTGCTTAGTCCCTCTCCACTGTGTCTTAACTGCAAATGGAGCTGACGTCTCCTGGCCCTCTCCCATGACAGCTCCTCTTATTATGGTTGGCCAGAGGAACACAAACCATCCAGGCTCTTTTAGAGAGATTCCACTGCTGCTGCTGTTGATTATGCCTCCGCCCAAGACCAGCGGAGCCTGCAGCACTAACCAGCCAAATCACAACACCAACACCAGCCTCATTACTCAGACATAAAGACAATTACAATGCAATAATGACTCATTATGGACATTATGGTTTGTAATTGCTTAGCAATTAATGACCACCGGTGGCGAAGTTCCCTGAAATGCTCTTTGGGTTTTTCTGTTGCCCCGCCACCTTTTGACCAGTCCAGCACTTCAGTAATGAGAAGAACAACTTAATTGGTGTCTGAAACTTCACCAGAAGGCGGTATTTGCTCCTGTTTCAATCATTAGTGTTAGTCATTGAAGTTCCAGGTACAGTATCCTGAAGCTTGTCTCTGTATTGATGTCAGTGTCTCTGTGTTGAGCCATTATTGCATGTCTTGGCTGAATTCCTCAGAGCTGCAGGTTGTTGTTGGTGTGTCGTGGGCAGTGACACATTCGCCCTGGACAACAGCTTTTCCTGTGACTTTCCTGTGGAGAGTGAGAGGTGTTGATGATGGTGACACGCTGAGAGCTACCTGCCTTGTTACATGTGGGCAGAGTGATTATTTCTGACACAATGATCAGGGAGGTACACAGGTGTCAGGTCACGCTGTAGCAATTACCAATTATAGCGCAGCATTTGTAATGAATACAATGAAGGCATGTTCGCTGACCGGAGAGCCATCCCCCTGTCCCCCTCCTCTCCCTCCCTCCGTCCCCCTCATCTCCGCCTCCAGGGACAACGCTGTCACCTGCAGAAAGGTTGAGGGGAGTGTCACCGGACCAGTCTGTGAGTGACAGGTGCATGGTAATGGTGGCATTGCCTGGTGATGCGACTCTAGTTGACGGAAGGTTTGGGAAGGGAAATTCTGGTCGCTACGCCCACGGACTGCACACACAGGTAGGCTAATGTTGAGAGAAATGCATCTGCTGTTGAAATAGTTGGGGATGACTCAACATACAGACAACAGCTGGTAGAAGTCGCACCAACTTCAAAGGACAAAACATTAAATGTATCTCTCTCTCTCTCTCAAAATCTCTCCAACCCTTCTAATAATAATAATAATAATAATAATAATAATAATAATAATAATGTGTTTGATACCATTCCACTGATTCCGCTCCAGCCATTACCACGAGCCCATCCACCCCAATTAAGGAGCCACCAACCCCCTGTGTATTTAATATAGTGTTTTTCATACAGAATCTCAAAGTCACTTTTAAAAAACAAAAACAAATTCAGGGAGCTGGCAGTTGATGGGAGATGGTCTTCCACAGCTAGATGATGATGCAGTTCAGTAAAGGAGTAGCTTGAGTGGAGGTGGCGTCAATGGTTCAGTCAGAGAGGGAGAAACAACAGTCGGGAGCTCTTCATCAGGAACCTCTATCTCTGAAGTTCACAGCTACTCCTCCTCTGTAGGTAGGCTGGAACATCCACCACCGAATGTGTAGCACCCATTTGGGTGATGCTTCGGCAGCTATAAGCGCCTGAGAGACCACCACACCTCGTCAGTAATCACCAAGAGTCTCCTACAAGGCGAGCCTCTGTCATCCCCACACACCACAGTCCACATCCTTCCAGAAACCAAGGCAGGTGGAATACAAATTTGGTGCTGTGTTGATCAGTTGTTGAGGCATCATTCAAATTAGATTCGCCAGCTAGCTAGCTAATGCTAGCCAAGCCAAGTGGCGCAGTGGTCTAAGGCACTGCATTGCAGTGCTAGCTGTGCCACTAGAGATCCTGGTTCGAATCCAGGCTCTGTCGTAGCTGGCCGCGACCGGGAGACCCATGGGGCGGCACACAATTGGCCCAGCGTCGTCCAGGGTAGGGGAGGGAATGGCCGGCAGGGATGTAAATCAGTTGGTAGAGCATGGTGTTTGCAATGCCAGGGTTGTGGGTTTGATTCCCAAGGGGGGCCAGTATGTAAAAATAATGTATGCACTCACAAACTGTAAGTCGCTTTGGATAAGAGCGTCTGCTAAATGACGTAATGTAAATGTAAACAGACTTTCCAGCTAGCTAGTTAATGCTAGCCAAGCCAAGTAAAACTGACTTCCCAGCCAGCTAGCTAATGCTAGCCAAGCCAAGTAAACATACTTCCCAGCTAGCTAGTGCTAGCCAAGCCAAGTAAACAGACTTCCCAGCTAGCTAGCTAATGCTAGCCAAGCCAAGTAAACAGACATCTCAGCTAGATAGCTAATGCTAGCCAAGCCAAGTAAACAGACTTGCCATCGTCAGTCCTGCAACTCCATGGGCCACCACCAGATATTTTTGCTCAACCCTCACCAGGTTATCAAAAAACACAAAAAATAGTTTCAAAATGCAACATAAAACACTTAATTATACAAATATAAACTCCGCAAAAAAAGAAACGTCCTCTCACTGTCAACTGCGTTTATTTTCAGCAAACTTAACATGTGTAAATATTTGTATAAACATAACAAGATTCAACAACTGAGACATAGACTGGGGGGGGGGGGGGGGGGGGGGGGGGGGGTAACAGTCAATATCTGGTGTGGCCACCAGCTGCATTAAGTACTGCAGTGCATCTCCTCCTCATGGACTGCACCAGATTTGCCCGTTCTTGCTGTGAGATGTTACCCCACTCTTCCACCAAGGCACCTGCAAGTTCCTGGACATTTCTTGGGGGGATGGCCCTAGTCCTCACCCTCCGATCCAACAGGTCCCAGGCGTGCTCAATGGGATTGAGATCTGGGCTCTTCGCTGGCCATGGCAGA